CGTGTTTTTTTTTTTTTTTTTTTTTTTGCCTTATAGTACCCTCAGAAACCCAAAGACAAGCATTTATTTAGGGAGGAAAAAAATGAGAAGCATTAACTATGATACCTTCTGAATATTTTATGACTCAGAACACAACAAATGGTAATACATAGTACCATAAGCGACATTTATATAAATGTATAAAAATATATCCTATTCAAAATGTAAATCAGTCCCTTTCCATGTATGTAACAATACACATATTAATGGAGGATTTTCATTCATACAAGTTTTCCTTAAGTACTCAAAATGAATCATCTAGGTATTATTTAATTTTATTCATCATTATTAATACTATTTTAATTTTACCCGAGAGAGACAGAGATAGAGAGAGAGAGGCAAAGTGAAAAAGCAAGTTGTTAGGTCCAGGACTCAAATCATGGTCAGCCGTGTGGGAGTCCAACGCCCTTAACCACCATGCCACTTGCCAGCCCCTCACCTAGGTTTGTTTAACTCTTAAAGAATACTTACCTTGGTGATACACCTGGCTATCTGAAATGTGTCTTTTAGGATTTTTTTCTTTAACAGTTGTAGATGAAGGACTGACTGGCGATGAGTGGCCAGAAGACTGTGGTGAAGTTCCAAAATCAGATGAATAGTAAGAATAATGGGGTTTGTCTGCCTTCCTTTCTTGATCAGTATCTGGACTTTTTGCTCTTTCTCCCATTGCTTTGAAAATCGGTCTCTATTCACGTAATTTTACAGATTCTTTTCTGCAGAAGAGTCCATGACAACACTGAGAAGCAATTTTCGTAGTCTTCAGATTCTGGTGATAATATTAACTTCTGCGCGATCTGTTTTTTCCACCATACTCAGTCCACAATTCACGTTAGCAACCAGACATATACATTTTTGCCCTGCAATTCAGAAAGGAGAAAGGAGATTCATCATGGAAAAATACATAACAAAACCCCTAAAAGACAATATATATGACAGATACATAAAACTATTTTATTTCAGATACCATTTTTAAAGCCATAATATTATCAAAGACTTTTCAAAACAGTAACACTAAATGCTGCCAGAACTACTACAGGAGAAGATCCACAGACTTTTGGGGTGGTGGTGGTGGAGGGAAGGGACCAGACGACTGCACAGTGATAAAAATGCAATGTTCTGTGGGCTGATTGCACATGGGAAGGTTCCCAGTTCAAGTCCATGCTTGCCTATGATATGGGGCTGGTTAAAGGCTGGGGGTGGATCACAATCACTCATGGAAGAAACAAACTTTTAAAAAGTGAGTAAGATTTGTATTAAGAATTTAATTATGGGGGCCAGTAGGTGATGTGGTAGTTCAGGTGTGGCGTGGCCATTCCCCCAGGAGATGATTTCTCACCTTCCCTCTCTGTCTCCCTCTGGCAAGTGCACGCACCCTTCGAAACCGAAAACAAAAACTTAAACAAAAGCAAACCAAAAAAAAAAAAAAAAAAAGGACTTTAATTATGTCTTTAGAAAAACTTTGATTCAATAGTTCCATTCCTGTATTCCAAGAAAAATAGGAGGAAAGTGTAAATGTGAATGTGATACAGTATAATTTTTTTAAGATATGGAAGCAACTTAAATGTCCAACTACTATAGAATAAGCAAGAAAAGTACTATAAAAATCCATATAGCATGACATCATGAAGTGGTTGGAAATGTTTATGAAGAGTTTGTGTTCAAGAAAAATGCTTATGCATACAGTCCTCTCCCTTTGTGGTTTTACTTTCTACAGGTTGACCCATGGTTAACCACTGTCTGAAAATAAATATTAAATAGAAATTCCAAAAATAAGCAATCCATATATTTTAAACTGCACACTGTTCTGAGTGGTGAAGAAATAGCGTGCTGATTCACTCAGATCTGCTTTGACTTGACTGGGCTATGAGTCATCCCTTTGTCCACTCTATCTACACTACCTGCCTGTGAGTTATAACCTAGTTATCAGATCAAAGAAACACAACACATACAGCGTTCAGTAGTAACTGGTTTTAAGCATCTAGTGGAAGCCTTAGAATGTATCCCTTACAAATAAAGCAGAAGGCCTACTATATGTGGCCTAAGTCCCTTATCCATGTGGGTTACATTATAAGACCCCCAGTGGATATGTGAAACCACAGATAGCACCAAACCCTGTATTTATTTATTGTTTTTCCTATGCATTCGTTCCTATGGTAACATTTAATATATAAATTAGGCACAGTAAGAGGTTAAAAATAATAATGGGACAATTAAACAATATATTACAATAAAAATTATATAAATGTAGACTGTTACTCCCTCTCAAAATCACCCTTACTGGGGACCAGCAGGTGGTGTGGTGGTTATGGCGCTGGACTCCCACATGGCTGACTGTGGTTTGAGTCCTGGACCTGGGAGCTTGCTTTCTCATTTTCCCTCTCTCCCTCTCTTTCTCTCTCTCTCTCTGGTGAGTGTATGTACACTATAACAAATTTTTAAAATAATAATAAATAAAATTAATCCTTTTTAAAAAAATACCTTACTGTACTGTACTCACCCTTATTCTTGTGATTGTTGGTCTGATAACTGAGACAGGTACTAAGTGATTAAGGGGCAGGTAGCACAGGCAGTGTGGATATGCTGAACAAAGAGACAATTTATGTCCAGGACGGGACAGAGTGAGATGACATAAGATTCCTATGGTACTATTCAGAATTTGACACAATTTCAAATTATAAATTATTTCTGAATTTTTCCATTTAATATTAAATATTCATTACAGTTGACCAAAAGTAACTGAAATTGCAGAAAATAAAACTACAAATAAGGAGGGGACAACAGTGTTGTGGTTCTGGCAATATATAAGATGACTTATGCACAGGGCAGCACTACTACTACTCATCATAGTACTATTACAAGCAGTAAAACACCAACCATTCAAAATGACCAGGAATAAGGAACTGGCTTTATACACTATAAACATCCACATGAAGTAGAGTACCATAGAGCTAGTAAAGGAATGAGGTCTGTCTCTGTATATTGTTCTTTGGTCTGGAATAATATGTAGGATTATTAAGAAAACACAAAGAAAAGTATATATAGTATGCTATTATTTATGAAAGAAGGAAGGTTATATACATATTTTTTATAATTTTCAAAAGCAGAAGGGTAAGTCAGATACTTAACGGGGGGTGGGGGAAGAGTTCTCTAGAACGGGGCTGTCCAAAAGGGCTTTCAGGAGATGTTCTATAATCTGTGCTATCCAATATGGTATCTGATTACATGGCTACTGAATACTTGAAATGCCACTAGTATGATGAGCAACTAATTTTTAACTTTTAAATTTAATTTATTTAAACTTCAAAAGCCACATGTACTGATAGTTAGCTTATTAAATAACACAGTTACAGGGAAAAGGAGGAACCAGACTTTAGGGACAGGGATAAAAACTAGACTTCTTTGTTTATAACTGTTGCAGATTTGACTTTGGAAATTGTAACTTTTAGTACTATATTTTTAAAAAGCAATCCCTAGAAAGCAAAAAAACAAACAAATCAATCTAACTATATTCATAGTCGGTGACAAACCACACAGATTACCCAGTTCAAAAAAAATTATCTTTTTCCGGCCAGAGGGCC